CAATATTAGAAAATTACACACGGCAGATATATAATAAATATGTAATATAATCCCAACAAAAATATCTTTTATAAAAATAATTTATCTTTTAAAACACTTTTTAAACTGTCAAATCCCTGCTAAAATCAACGCAAGTATACGTATCGCTCAAGTAATAAAGAGCTCATTTGAGTCCTAGATATCGATACCACAGGGAAGTTGGAAAATCCTTGAAATAGGTAAATTATTTTAGAATTAAAAATATGAAAACAAAAGTAAAGTGTGAAGTTTGAATATTAACTACTAAGGTTAATGCTATATAAAATGCAGTTGAAAAGCAAAGTTAACTAACTCAGAACTAACTTTTTAAAAGTAAAATTACTAAAATTAAACAAAGATTTTATTTTGATGGAAAGTTTAAATTTAAGAATACACCCTTTCCCTTTACCATGAGTATATGGATTGTGAAGAAATTGAAATCATTTGAATATATTCAGAGTTTGGTCTCTAATTTCGTAGTTAGGCTGGGAGGATACCGGCTGCCACTTCAGAGCTCTCACTACTCTCTCACCTGAGGGTTAACAATCTCGCATCAGTTTCCAATCAACTGAACCAAATTGGGGATTTTAATCTGTCACCTTAAAATCTTCAATTCTGCATCCAACAAAGTATATTTCTCTATTTATTTGCACCCAATCCCATGGATGACATACTCTTCCATGAAATCAAATGTGACTCTCCTTATGTTGTAGAAATCATATCTTTTTTCAAAACATATGTTTCTTAACAAGTTTTAACATTTCAATTGGCCAGATTAAAAAGTAAATGAAGATCGGAGTTCAAATCATCACAAATTATTAGGTAATTAAAACCGTAGAAAACAAATTAATTCTTCACAAAATCATATCTCAAAGTAGAGAGAAGGATAATGAAAACTACTCAGAATTCATGAAAAGGATACGACAAAACACAGATTTCATATATAAAAACAAGTCTACAAAACAAAAGAAACAAATGACACAACTTATCTCACAATCCTTCCCAAGCAAATCCCTAGAAATTCTCTCCAAGTCTCTCTCTTTACAATCTCACTCAATTCTCTCTTACAAGTGTAATGAAGAAGAAATCTCTCACCTTCCCTCTCCTCTTACAACCCTAGAAGAAAATCTCCTCTTCTCTCCCCTTGCCTTTCAAGCCAACTTTCTCTCTCTCTCTCCCTTTCTCCTCCCTCTCCTTCTCGTCCCTCTCTTAGCCCCCTTGAAGTCCCCTTCAAGTCTTCTCTTTTATTTTTGGGCTGACTCCTTTGAAAAAAATTCCAAATTCCCTCCAAAAGTCCAAAAGTCAACTTTTTTGAATTCAAAAGATATGTCATTTGATCCAAGAGACATACTCCTTCATAAAAGAACATTTCAAAGTGTCTAGATGCATTGAATTACTCCAATAGGTGTGTAAAACAAGTTTTCATTTAAAAATTCGCGCAAAATTCATCTCGAACCGTCTTAATTTGCAAAAAATCGTCTCTAGCGCATCATGCGTCAGTTCTCTGTTAAACGGCGTATCATGCGCCAGAATCCCAAAATTTGTTGTTTTAACTCCAAATTTCATCTTTTTTGTCATTTTTGCTTCAAATGCCCAAAAATGATATACCTGCAACAAAAACATGAAAATAACCTTCTTTAAAGTGCAATATCACCAAAAAGTGCAATATCACCAAAAACAAGCATAAAATATGTGCTTAAAATAATATATTATTTTGGTGTATCATAAGCTTAAACACAGTTATACAAAAATGGATAGTATAGTGAGGTTCAACAAGATATCATTTATGTTTGGCCAAGGTAGGCTATACATTATCTAATTTAGACTAATGTGTTACACCGATCACCTTTTGTCTTAATTTTTTTTCACTCAATTTTCATTTAATATGTTTCTCCCTTGTTTCATTTCACTGTAAGGTGTCCTGTGTAGGAAATGTCATTGGAAGGTCACAAAGGATAACATTAATAGATAAGAAAATACATAAATATGAAAACATTTTTAACTTTACATGTTAATTATAAGATGATGTCAAATAACTAACAAATAAATAAAAAATTCTTTCACGCTATATAAAAAAAATCAAATCACAAAATATGATTTATAATAATGTGAAAATTACCGACATACTTGTAGAATTATGCTTTACGAAGAGAGTTTATCCCCAAAACTTTATTATATGTCTCTAATATAGAGAAATGCTCGCTAACTGAAATTCAACATTTTGTGGTTGTTAAGATAGAGTATGAGTGGTTATTTTATTTATCAAACCAAATCTAGCAAATAATTGTTAAGGTTATGGGTTGTTTGGTATTTTCATTTAGAATTCCATTTTGTTGTGGAGTTATTTTCATCAAAATAAAGAAGTTGAGCCTATATTTTTAGATAGTTTGTAAATGATTTAAACATTGCCGTTGCTAAGTGATGGGAATATTAAGTGCAAGAGCAAGACATACAAAAGCTAAAGAGTGCAAGAGCAAGTTGATGCTAAAATCTTTCTCCCTAAACAATGAGAAAGATTTTAGTGTACTTATATTGCGTTGATTACTTTATGATATTTCAAAATAAAAAACTATTTGCTACTCTAGCTAATAGCTAATTATAAAAAACTATTAGCTAGAGAGAGAGTTTAAATCTAAAAGTATGTATCTTTCTCATTGCCTTGAAAATCAATTTTTCAGATAAAAATTATATGAGTAGCAAATAATTTTTTATTATTTTATATAATAAGAAATTATTATAGTCGAAGAGCTTTGTCAACACATGAATTACAATTTAGTAAAGTATCAAATGTGTCAATGTATGTTGAATCAACAAAAGATCTAATGCAAAAATAGCACAACAAAGATAGATAGTGACTTGAAAGATGTTTCTATTTCATTATAACTACATGCAAACCAAGTGCTAGAAGTCAGTTCAGAGGGTGAGCGTTGTGATGGCCCTTATAAATTAGAGTCGAGTAAAAGGCTAAAAGTCTATTCAAATAAGAAAAAATATAAAGTAATCAACACACAAAAACATGCAAAATTTTATGCAAATTCATACTATTGTTTGCTACATTAAATTGCTGCGTTCATAAATTTTACTATAATTTTGAATATAAAAAGATATAAGTTAATCTTCATTTCTCATATACAATATAAGGACACAACTCTATCTTTTTTATTGAAAAAAATCTTAGCCAACCAAAAATATAACTAAAATCTCAAGAGACTTTTCATGGAATTATTCATAAATATGAATACAGTTTAAAAGTGGAATCATTGAAGGATCTACCCCCAAACCCCAATACAAGAACTCCCAACTCTTTTCCTGATCTCTACGATAACCGTTTCGCAAAAGGTTTCTTTATTGACATATTTGGTCTCAATTCATGGAAAATTGAGGATGAGAACATAAGATGGATGGCCCTTTTTGTTGTCTCACGCATCATATATCAATTTGTACTTGTATTTTTGTACAAACTCATAACAATTATAAGTAAGTTTCTACTTATAAATATTAAACACTAAATAATATTTAATAACTCCTGCAAGGCCACGCGAAGAAGTTGAAAGATAATCTTTTATTTAATTAGGAAGCTCAAATTCAAAGCACAGTCTAACCATTAACTTCTAAACTCTAATAGCTCTAACATCCCCCCCCCCCCAAAACCTCTATTAGCCCAAAACCCCCCCCCCCCCCCCCCCCCCCACCAATTAACGATGCAATAGCAAGAGACAATGAGAATATGTTACCATAAAGTGAAAGCTTTACTAAACAACATTACAAGGCAAATTATAATATTATCATAACATTATAATAGTATATATTATAAAGATCAAACACATGTGATAATAATTCTAATAAATTAAAACCACTATCATTATCTTTGCTTATGAGTCATCATTAAATAAAAAATATTAATTATAAAAGGACTAAGATCTTGACTAGGATAAAAATATGAATTAGAATAGAAATAATGCAATATAAAAAGACTCCAAGGACAAATCTTTTGGCTTCTCTTTTAACTCATCTTCCTATAAATTTTGATCATATCATATTCAAATAGATCGAGATTCCTATACAGAATAAATTACAATAATCAACCTATTAAATTATGGTTTTTCAATTCTACCATCCCTGTTCATTTCAGATTTGTTATGTCCAAAGCATTGCCAAAACATTCCATTACAAAAATATGCCTTATTTTAAAATACGCATTTACATAATGCCCCTCAATGATGAATACTTTTCAACAGCAATCTCATGACAGAGATGACGCAATGAACAAAAATTAAGATTAGGATTATATATATAACCTCCGGACAATGCGTCATTGTAGCTCACCTACATTAAACAAAAATAATAGGAAACGAATAAGGGTAAAGGGAAACAAGAGGTTGCAACATCACCCCTTGCTAAATACAAATAATAGGAAGGGGTAGAATGTAAAAGATTGAGCGAAACAACAGAGCAGAAGATTCTTGTAGGAAAATTCAAATACACTGCATTTCAATTTTACTATATTTTAATTACACTGCATCCCTTTCAACAAATAAAATGGCCCCTAAATTTATATTGCACTCATTTCAAAATATATCCAATTTTCAAAAATTCATCCCAACATAAATCTAGTAACAATATTTGTAGTTCTACTCGTTTGTTTCGATTTGAGCTAAAATACAAATAAATTTTCAAACGATTAACGATCTTCGAACTAAATTCGCTAAATTCATTGACTTCACATCACTAGGACTATTGATGATCTGTTTTCAAGCCAAGCTGGTTTCAGCTCAAAATAGGCTCCAAAAAAATTCGACCCCAAATGTTGGCTCATAGCTTGCCTTGCTTATTTCAATCTAATCTCAATCCGAATCGAAGTTAAAATCAATTTTCGAGCGATTAGCGATCTTCAAGCTAAATTCGCAGACATATCCTCACCCAACAATACCTTATTATTTTAAATTTCTATTTTCATCACAACATTCCATTCACCACCCAAGTGGAACTAAAACCAATGAATCTTCCTCAACCATACTTTTAGTCTCTCACAAAATTACAGAACATCAAGTTCTCAATGGTAATATATCAACATCCACTTCAATAATTATTTAGAAAACACAAAGTTGTCAAACCCTAAGAGAACAATAAGCCCTGCCAAGCCATTTCAGGTTTTGAACCCTAGAAAGTGCCCATCGGACTTGGAGAATACCTGATTTCCTTCAAATAAAGGGCTGTCAAAGGGAGCTTTGCTGAGATGGAAGTCTTGGAACTGACTTCCATTGCTGCTGAAATTGAAAGCCAGAGCTTGCTCGGTCAGCGAGCGGTCGTCTTGCCAGCATTCCAGCAGCGAGTTCGAAGCCTGAACCGGCGAAGGATGCGAAGCCGTGGCGGCGGTGGGGTTCGTTTTGGCGATGATCATATGGCTCTGTCCGGCGTTGCACGGACCGCATGAATCGTTTGACAGAAGAGAGAGAGCACTTCGAAGGTCCGGTGGTGCTCCGTTGAAGTTGGAAGCAGAGGCAGAAGCTTCCAGACCTGAACAAATCACAGATGTTGAAGAATATAGAATTAGCAGGGTGTAGATTTAAAAATTCAGTATTTGTTATGTGATATCAAAGATTTGAGAGTTATGTGTGTAAATATGAAAGTTTAGGTGTGCGACATATAAATACATAAGAATTATGGGCAGTGTATGCAAATGCCCCAAACAATTTCTATTTGTTTTCAACTCAATTCTCTTGTCCTCAGCTAAACTGATATGGAACATCAGGTTATTGAATATGAAGCAAACCTGTACTTAACAAGAATAACATAGTGCCAAAATGATAACACTTTTGTAACATTAAGAATTAGGTAGGACTGTAAAAATTGAAATTTTGGCATTTGATATGTAAATACATATCCAAATCTCTTGGTTTTCGGGTCAAAGTCCAAAGCTTGGCATAACCATGCAGTTGGGGATTTATAAAACTCAGTTAATTAAGTCCAAAAAAAATAAAACCTTAAATGCTAATGAAATCAAACTAAAGTTAAAAGAAGCAGAGCTACTATACAGATTAGAAAAAAGATATCACCTTGATTAAGGACCTCGGCAGTGGTGCCCTTGAACGGCATAGTTCTATTAAAGCCATGATGCGAAGTGGGAAAGTTATCAGAGAAATCCAAGAAAGGGAGATGCAAAGCTCCATCGACGCCTGCTTTTGTTGGTTTCGGCCAAGTTCCTTCTGATGTTGAAAGGCTAAAACCCGATGATTTCTCCCATAATGTGCTTGCAGAAGGCCTCGTATCGTTGACCGGACCTCGACTCAGAAAAAAATTCATTTGCTGTCCATTAGCTGCATCCACTGATTTTGGTTCAGATTTTGAGAAAAATAATTAGAGTAAGTAACTTTAAAGCAACATTAAAGCATATGGCATATCTGTAAGCAAGTCCTTATAACTAATAATAGCAAGGAATTTTCCTTTCCATATGTATGATAAGTGAAAGTTCCCTGTTTTATAAAGAGTTATGAAATGGTGTAAAAAAAAATGTAAGAAAATGCCACACAATTCTTATGTATTTACATATCTAACACCTAAACATTCATATTTACAACCATATCACTCAAATCTTTAACATCAGTACATTACATAAAAAATGCCACCAACGCCGTCTTTGTTGAAATGAAATACACATTTTCATGCATACGTTTAGGACACTAAAGTGTTATAAGAGTAAATATCAAATTTTGTGCATTAAATATGTAAACACGTAAGAATTGTAATTTACCAGAAGAATGTTATTGAAAGCAAACATTGCAGCATTCCTGAAGAATCCATAAAAGATAAATTGCAAGAAGAAAAAATGGCGTTGATTTGCAAATCAATGATCAAAACCTTCAAGCATGTGCAATATACATTCAAAAACAAACATGCCTTTCTTTGGCATCACTACCCTAATTTGAATAAGCTGATAAGCTCATAAATGAGGACCACAAATTCAATAAACCGCACTAAGGACATTTCTTACGGAATAATGTGGGAAATCTTAATCATAGGCAAAGGAGAATAAAATTCATTATACTCCAAGAAAATTATAAAATGGCAGTGGCGGCTGCCTCCTTCACATAACAAACCTAGTATGTGTGTGTGTGCAACATAATAAGCTATATCCTTCCCGAGAGTAGGGCTGTCAATTTGGTTCGTTGTTCGTGAACAGGTTCGGTTTGTTCTTAAAACCTAACGAGCCGAACACGAACAAATTTTTAAGCTTGAAATGTAAGCAAGCCGAACATTAATATATTATATATATTTATGTCTAAGTTTAAATCATAACACCTCATGTGGCAATGTGGTTAGTGTCTTTTTTTGTATGAATTTGATTCAGGTTTGAATCCCACATTTTACATCTATTTTTCTCAATTTTAGTTTAACGAGTCAATTTCGAGCTGAACACGAGCCAAGTCCAAGCTCGCTCAAACTCGGCTCGTTTACAGCCCTACCCGAGATATATTGTATGGGTAAGCTATAGGTATGTAATAGGGTTAATTCTAATGTGAGGTGTGATGGACGGCTGAGGTATGTTTCGATTCCCTGCTACTCTTCAGCTTTCCCTCTAGGCTTTGCTCTCTCTCTCTCTGTCTCTCTCTCTCTCTCTCTCTATTCTTCATGGTGCTAGAGCCATGAGCTCAAGCTTATTCTAGCTTCCCTTCCCCCTCTCACCGGTGGTCAAGCAGCTTTTAACACAGGACCCGTGAGCAGTCCGATCGGGATCGGCATCCAAAGCTACGCAAAGATGATCGAACCTACCCGTGCAAGTTATCAAGGTATCAACTCGATCTACAACATCAACACCAATGTCAACCTTACAAACCTCAGAAAATATGAATCCAATGATAATGGAGACAAATGTCCCCATATCGATTCCTCCTTCCCTCAAATTTCTCAAGAGCAACATCAAGAGCCTAACTCAAAACCGTTTATCTGCGGATAACTATCCTATATGGAAGGCTCAAGTTCTGAAGATTCTCACAGCGAATGGATATCTAGGGTTTCTAGAGGAAAGCATACATTGCCCTCAATTTACCGAAAATAGGGATGATATTCAGGTTTATAATCCAAACTATGCCGCATGGATTTTGATTGATCAAAACCTTTCAGCAGCTTTGTACACCAATCCTTCCTTAAGTATTACAACCCTCTACTACTACCAAGACATGGCATACAATTGCAAAATGATTGCAACCAACAAATCATTCAAGGCTTATTTAGCTCAAGAATGTCGTACACACTCTCTTCATGAACAATCAGGTGGTGATTCAATATCTACCATGTGTCAGAGCTCTTGTTGATAACATTAGAACAGTGGATGAAAGTTAGATACAAATGATATCATACTCTACACTCTCAATGGCCTACTGACAACCTACCAAGGATATATGACGGCAATCCGGACTCGACTATATCTCCTCAATCCTGATGACTTCTACTCTCTACTGTGTAGCGAAGAGATTAACATTGTAAGTGGCACACAAAATCACATGCAGCTACCCCAATCAACCCTCTACTTCTATGACCTCCACATATGAGCCAATCCAAGCCTCCACTACCTTCAACCAAAACTTCTCCCAATCCTCCACCTGCCGAAAATCCAGTGTCAGACCCTGCCTCCACACAAATACCCACTCCCCCACCACCATCTCCAATTCAGCCACACCATATGGTCAACTGAAGCTGCACCGACCACCTCAAACCGGTCACAATGTTGAACCTCTTCCACCAATTCAATCACCCACCAAATCCCACCACATACGCACATGCTGTGAAACATGCCCATTAGAGGTCTGTTATGAACGAAGAGTTGTAAGTCATGTAGACCTTAGTTGGCTACGTAGGTCGTTGTGGTGAGTTGTGAAACATTCATAGGCTATGGAAATTGGGATCGAGTGCTGCAAGAGTTGTGGATCACCTAGAAAATAGTTGGTGTGCTGCAACGAGAGAGCATTAAGAGTTCAAATAAAGTCACTGTCCTCAAGGTGCATTATTACACCATATTCGGGAGACGTTGTTGCACTGTATGTTGAGTGCATTATTACATCGTCATTATGGTGTGTCACTGCGTCATATTAGGGGAGTGTTGTTACATTGTCTTTGGGTTGCGTCATTGTCTATTGTACTGGACGAAGTAATGCTCTATCAGGTGTTTCATTGTTCCAAAACGTATGTTGAAATTTTGCAAGACATGTTGTATCTTCGTCAGAGTATGGAGTAGGTGGCGATCGATGGTAGTCAGCGGTATAGAGCAACCGACGGTTGTAGATGGTGACCAACAGGTGGTGTTTGATAGTGATTGGCGACTGCAGGAGCAGGAATAAATCACCATATTTTCAGTGTTAAAATGATACCACGCTTCTCTCATTCTCCCAGCTCGTCTTCTTGCTCTTGTCTTCTTCTGGCTCCATGCCTAGCTCCCCTCTCAAGTTGGGGGCATGGCTCTAAGAGAGTGTGAGTTATAAGGAAGGAATTTGAGCCGCTCTGATAGGATAGTCCGGAGAGCTTCCCTCAATTGGATAATATTTTATTAGCATTTAAGTGCCATAAGGTTAGAATTAAGTGATCTTGAAACAGTTGGATTTTTCTTGTCAAGATGCTCAATTTTACTGTAAGCTTGTAGAATTTGGAATCCATTTTGACCTTCAAATTATGTATTGAAAGCTACCAAAATGGTTAACAACTTATTTGAGGCTTTATTTGACTCGAATCGGACCAAATTTAGCATCATTGAGTCTGCCTTGTTGAGTCGACAATTTGACTATATGTTTATTGAAATCAAAGTTCTAAATGATTTCTAATTGAAGTTCGAGGATTTCTTCTTAAAACATTGTCACGGGATTTGCGCTATATCTCAAGATTCGTGCAAAATGATAGAGATTTGTTGATGACATACCAACACTATTAATACTTTATAAAAGTGACATACACATTTTAATACATAGATTTAAAACACCAAAGTGTTATATATGTAAATATGAATGTTAATGTGTAAGATTTCTAAATACACAAACGTACATGTGTGTGTGTGTGTGTGCATGCGTGCATCTAGACACTGCACGTTTGAACGACCAACTATGGGTCACGTCGCAATATTGCCTCAGTGAATGTAGGTGAGGACAAGAGTTGTCAAAAAGCAACATACAGTTGCTTGTTTTTCTACAGAAAATGAGTATCGCGTTCAAGCCTAGACGGGATCTGATACCTTGTGGCTCCGCCGACTCCTTGAGGAACTCGGTGCACCTCAATTGGAACCCACAAAAATCTCATGTGACAACCACTCAACAATTTTCGGCAATGGCTATAGCCACGAATCTGGTATTTTACGCTTGCACGAAATATGTCGAGATCGAACATCAATTTATAAAGGACTAAATCTACTCTCAACTCCTCCAAATTCACTACATCGGTACGGCAGATCAACCGGCCAACATCTTCACCAAACCATTGCCAAAGAAGAAATTCAAAGAGCTGCAGTCCAAGCTTCAAGTTTGTCCCAAACTCTATCAGCTTGATGGGGGGTAATAAACTCTTTAGTATAGAATAAGTTATACCCTTCCTGAGATATATTGTAAGGGTAAGCTACAGATATGTAATAGGGTTAATTCTGATGTAAGGGTGTGATGGACGACTGAGGTATGCTTCGGCTCCATGCTACTCTTCGGTTTTCCCTCTCTCTCTCTCTCTCTCTCTCTCTCTCTCTCTCTCTCTCTTCACAACACCCTGATAGAAATGATCCTAAAAGAATGGGTGAGAAAGTCATAAATTAATGAAATGCACCTTACCTGAGCGCTTGCATCAAAATATTCCAACAATGCCATATCTACTCAAAGAAATTCTATTTGGTTCAAAATGTAAATATAAGAATATAAAAGCTCAGCTTTAGTAATAAATCTTTATCAAGTATAATAAGAGACTAATAACACTTGTCATATGAGGGCTTTAATCAAACAAGAAATATTAAAAAATAGTCCCATACCATAAAATGATGAAGGAAGAACTGAAGAGTTGAATGAGATTGCTTCAGGCTGTGGTTTGCGTCGACGTGAGTTATGTTCGGATAAGCGTTTGCGACAGCTCCTTTTCTTTTGGTCAAACTCAGATAAATCATGGAACCTTAAACAAACACAACAAAAAATAGAAATCTGTAAAACCAGATTTTGAAATCAAATTGCATCAAGAAAGAATTGAATGGAACATGAACAAAAGAAACAATTCCATATCTTGTAAATTAAGGTAGGTTCTACTAATTTAATATAATTAATGTCCTATTAAACTGACAGTTATACCTCAATTCCCCATTGTCATATACATAGCTTGACCATCTTCATTTTTTTTTTTTTTGAGAAATTTACATGTAGCACACAATTCTTATGTATTTACATTTTGATGCTTTAAAACCTTTACATTAAAAAGTGTATGTTACTTTGAAAAGGTGATAATAGTGTTATTTTTTAAGATTTGAGTGCTATGCTAGTAAGTATGAAAGTTTAGGTGTTTGATATGTAATTACATAAGAATTGTGTGGTATGAATGTAAATGCCTCTCAAGTCAAGCTGCATCAGGAAAGCATTGAATCGAACATCAACAAAAGAAATGAATCCATATCTCTATAAATTCAGGGAGGTTTGACTAATTTACTGTAATTAATCCCCTATTTGACTGACAGTTCTACCTCAGTTCCCCATTGCCGTAAACATAGCTCGACTATCTTCAAAATATGTTGGGGCATTTACATACATACAACAGTTTTAATATACTTACATACTAGCAGCCAAACTTTCATATTTACATACATAACACTCTGACTTCAATATCACATCAAAAATACCACTACTGCTAACTTTTCAAAAGTGACTCTTTCAAGCATAGGTTGTTCTCTTGACACCAAAGTGTCATAAATGTAAATACAAAAAAATTGTTTGGTGTTTATGCAAATTTTCAAAATTTTTTTGGACGGCCAATAATAAGAAAATAGTAGTTTGAATGTAAAGGGAACCCAATGCATAAGAATCACATAACTTATATTAAACAAAAATGCATCTAAAAAATTAGAAAAAAGGAAGATTTACATGCATGCCACTCAATTCCTATGCATTTACATATCTAACAACCAAACTTCAAATTTTTATGCATGAAAATGTATCACTTTTTTAAAGTTAAAATAGTGACATTTTTTTTGTCATATGAAAAATTTGTGTTAGATATGTAAATCCATAAGAATTGACTGGTATGTATGTAAACTCCCAGAAAAAGAGATAGAAAATTTTCAGCAACACAAGTTAGAAACAGTACCTGCTACACTGTTGACAAAACCGTCGCTCTTGGCCGGCAATAATAACCTTGGGGCTTTTAGAATGGTTTTCACATACTCTGTGCTTCCGATGATAATCTTTTGCTCCAATCAGATCGATATTGCACCCTTCAACCTGGCAATAAGTATTCTGAGTCGCTTGATGAGACACACGAGCTTTCTTAACTGAAGTATCTTCTTGCGTGATTGAAGTCTTGACGTTTGCCCTACCAAAGTCCTCAAAATAAGTTCTTTTGCCGAGTTTTAGACCCAGCTGCGGCTCTCCGGCACCGCTCCGTCGAACTATCGCCGGCGATGTTTCGGCATCTTCACCTGTGACAGGTTCGTTGTTCTTGTTCGGATTCTGATGTAAACCTTCCAGGGCTTCGAAGTTCAACTCTGATGTAAAAACTCCAACTTTTGATGAAGAGCCGACGGATGCTGAGACGGAGCTTCTGGATGAGCCATTACCTAGGTCTGAACCAGAAGAAGTTCCGCTGCCAGATGAATACACAGATCCATTACTGATTACTCCGCCATCTTCAGTCCTCCATTCAGCCTGCGTTGTAAACTTGGTTATCTCGCTTTCTTTCCCGGAAAACAAGGCGAGATTTTCCCACTCCCACTGTAAGGGAGCCTTTAAGTTCCAGTCCATTTTAGCAGAAAGGCTCCGGGAAATAGAGCTTTTGCGCCGATTTTTTCCTACAAAACGAAAAAGGAGCGGGCTTTGTTAAAAAGTCATAATTTATTTATGCTGGCTTAGTCAAAATCAACCAGAACAACTAAAACAAACAGAAAACATCGTCGAACTGGGCAGTATGTGCAAAACAGAACCCATGGTCGCAAATCATTGTACAGAGCTAAGGAAAACTCACAAGGAGAACCGTAATCGAGGATTGTTAAGGGAAAATTATACAAATCTTACCTTAAAAATCATGCCAATAGAAGCATCAACTCAACACCGGCGCACAGTTTCTAACAGATAAATCCATTGTTCTTAACAAGTAAAATAGTTGAAGATCCAAACAACAAACCCAACTAAAACAATGCCCCCAGAACTAAATCAAACGACTGTAAGAAAGCGAAATAAAAAAAAGAGGCAAGTAAAAAGAAGCTCTTGACTTCACCCCACAGATCCCATCCCCGAAACCCTAAACCAACCAGGGATCCCAATTATTTGCTTTCCAGATCAACTGAAGCAGCAATACGTTGCCAATAATAGTGAAGAAACACACCCCAAATCCCCATTATTGACTCATTACGCACTAGATCTCCAAGTCGCCCAACCAACACACTCAATAAGTCAGTCCTAGCGGCCTAGAGCTATAACATCCAAAACTAAAAGCAATACCTTTCAAAAAAGCAACCTTTCCCCCTTTTCCGTGTCGTCTTCCTCCATTTAACTTTCGATAGCCTCTTGCTTTCGCCTCTGAACCACAAGGCTGGCACCCTCGAATTTTTACAGTAGGTCTAATCAAAATAATAACTTCTGAACTATTTCAGCACATGGGAATGCCGATGGATCACAGAAAAACTAAAAAAAATCTTCTACTTATAGCCTACGGTGACAACAGTATGTGTACAGAGTAAACAGTATGGAAAACTTTGACTTAAGCCGATATCACAAGAATGAGATACATTAATGGTAGTGAGCGCAGATGAAGCGGATGCGATATCATAATTCCCATTCCTTTCAGGATGGGAGAAATTAGTACATAGATGGTTAGCCCTACCGGCATATCCGACTTTGGGCGTTGGTATGGAGGACAAATCAGTACTCCACGAATATAGGAAAACATGTTAAAAACAACAACAAAAAAGGGCTACAAGTGAGTACATAAATGGAGATAATTGCAGGCTGCTTGGTTGGTGCTTGTTTAAGTACTTGTAAATTTGGTAGGCAATATTTAAAACTCCACATAATTATATAGTTAATTTATGAAAATAAATAAAATTTATAGGTAATAATTAAAATATTTTTTTAAAAATATGATTAATTAGTGATCCAATTGGTGCCTTCCAAGAGATGAGTCCTAGCATCACAGTCTCCAAATCTTTGAGTTCTTGCTAAGTTGAACAATAAGATTTAATGGATAATGTGATGATAAAATACTTCTAATTATCAATAAATTTAAGCATTTACCTCGTCCATGTGAATGCTTTAGCTTGGCCTAATAGTCTTTAGAGAGCAATTTAAATAGTTGTTAGCCTTATAATACTCCTTGCTCTTATGTCTATATAAATTTTCAAGAATGTTTGTAATTGCAAGGGATTCTCATTTTACATCTTTAGTTAATAGGAGGATAGAAATTAGAGATGCATAAAGATTTTGCACTTATATTAATAAGTAGAAAGCATCACATAAAAGATATAATTTTTTTTATATAAAAACATGAGAATTAAAAAACTATGAAGCCTAGCTTAATTGAGATAACTTTCATTACTATAGATCAATGATTATAAAGAATATCATTCATCATAACTAAAACTATGCCAATGTAATGTAATAGACATGAATCATGGTATGCATCTCCTATAAAGTAATAGGAGGATATTAAGCCAAAGTTATAATCACTTGATGATTATTTGATAATAGTTAATGGTGGATGTATCGAGGATAAAGGGTAGTCAACTTAATCATTTTTTTTAATAAAAGGGAGAAAATGTGGTTGTTAGATTCGGACTATTTATATGTGTGGAATGATGGTTGAAAGAAAATTTTGAAGGTCAAATGATAATAAGATGTCAAATTTGTTGTTCTAATAATAGTGAGGATTAGTAGACATATAGATGGGTATCATGGCTAATAAAAATTAAACAAAAATCATGAATAGGTTTTATAAGATGATTGTTATGGAATGTAGGAGAATGGATGATGATGACATAATCAAAATGTCATTTTCCAGATATAAGATGGAACTTTATAACCAATATGGAGGGGCGTAGTTGTTAGATATCGATTGTCATTACATGCTAGTGTGGCTGATAGATGTTGTAAGTATATTATTGAAAAGTATTAGTGACGGGAAATGTTGGATAGTAGGTGTTCAGCTTAGTCGTTCTCTTGATTATAATGCTATAAAAAAAAACTCATTTTGTACTTTTGATTGCATTAATTCAATGGTAACTTCATTATATTTATGTATGCATGTGAATTTATGTGTGTTTACATACATATAAATAGTGACTTATATGTTTATATGATTTATATATGACTTTTAAGAAAGCTTTAATTCATAAATAATTTATGTTTGGCCGTAAAAAAAAATATAATCAATTTATTAGTTTAAAGCCAAATAATACTAAAGCTTGATTAAGCTCAACTCGCTTACACCCCTATCTTATACATATGAGACCTAAGGATTGGTAAGATGTAGAATTTGGATATTAGTGGCTAACAATTATTGATTGTTTGTTGTTAACAAACAATATTCGAACATTGAAAATTAAAAAGTTGGGTTATAGTGAGTTGACAAATTGATTGCTAACAATATTTGAGGGGCATTCTAATAATCAAAAGTATAAGCTTCAGACATTATTGGACGATGAATGTTGAAGGAAGGTCAAGCTTTAACTGTCATAAGCTGGTAACAATGGTGTTGATGGACGTTAACAGTTGTTGACGTCTATCATTAGATGATGAAAATAATGAGTGTTGACGTAAAGTGATAGTTGGTGGTTAATGACAACAAATAGAGCACTAAAATTATTTGTTAATCTCATCTGTTGAAATGCTCTCTTGATTGTGTAAACGTAAAGTATAAATAAATTTTTTAAACATTACTTCAAATAATTCTTTCAAAAAATTTTACAATTTATCAAACAGAAAGTAAGTTTTTTTGTGACTCGCATCCAATAAAAGAGGTGAATTAGGAGATCGGATGGGGTTGGAAAGCACATGAACTCTCATCTAATCAAAAGCTAATAGACACCTCATAAGTTAACCACGGGGCTTTGAGCTTAAAAGGGTTCTCCCACGATGTACAATGACTAAAATTAAATAGTAGTCATACGAACTCTACAATAGACTTAGCCAAAGCATTGCCCTGCGCTTAGCTGCTATAAAAGGAGGACAATAAAGCGGGAGGGAGAGAAAACTTTGTATTATAGTGAACTTAAAATTGAACCATCTTAGGTTCGTTAATGATTTCATTTATTAACATACAGAATTTGGAGGGTGTTTAACCCCTTAAAGATTCTCAAAAACTTTTCAGTTAGACTAATGAGTTCTTTATTTATGCCCAATTGAACTTAAATGTAGATGTGCTTGCTATCATTAGATTGGGTCATCAAACTAAATTATTTCAAATCTCATGAAATTGAAAACTAAAATATCTTAAAGCAAAATTTAAAATTTTAAGGCCAATTGAGTTGTCTTGTTGCTACTTTTTTTTTCATCAAAATTGAAATTTATTAACATTAATTTGTGGCGGCTACCCAACATCTATTTATCAAAACAATGTTGTATTCTTAATGTTCTTGTAGAAGAAACACTTAATCTTCTATGAAAAATTCTCATACATTGATATAAGAATTTAGAAAATTACCTGGCATAATTCTATCAACGATGAAATTTGACATTTTCTTATTTAATTGATTTAAACGAATGATATATTTGTTTCATCTTTTTTTTATGGTTATCAATGCCCGCATCTAGAATTAGAGACCACAGCTAGAAAGTTATCACCACACTAGTCAGAGCCTTCAAGAAAATGCAGATTTTAGCAGCAACTTTTTATTGCACTCTATTGAAACAGACAAAACTGCAGTGTGGTGTCGCACCACCTCCCCAAGAAGACCCTAAAATACAATATACACTTAGATTAGTTATATTAGTAATTAGCAAATAATTTAAAAGAAATTTAATACAAGCAAAATAGTAAAATAAATGATGTATCAATTAGGATTGACACTTGGGAATGCGTCACAACATTTGTCTATATATGATTTAATGGGGATGAGAGAGTTGGCACAATCTCTCTTTAGCGTCCCATCAAAGAAATACTCCAATTATTGAATTCGACAAGCGAGCCCTTACTCCCTCACGCATGACAAAAATCTGTGTTAAATGATAAATTATAAAATATGTGATCAAATTATTTGTTTTGCAGTCATGACCTTTGCAATTTTTCTTACTTATTTTACTAAATTCGATAAATAAAAACTATTACATAATAAGCCCATAAGGCGTCATGTATGAAAAAATTGAAATTTAAATGTGTAATATGTAAATACATAAGAATTGGAAAAAATATTACATCACGACACGACGTGTCCAATGAAATCACTTCATGGCAAAAAAAATAGGAGGTGATCGACCCGGTAACACAAGAAAATATTCCTCTCGTGTCATTCAGGTGTTATTGTTTGTTATTCATGTGTTATTGTATGTTATCCATGCGTTATTGTGTTCTGAGAATATTTTTGATATTATTATAACACAATAACACAATAACACATCAACAATATTTGAATAACACACAATAACACATGAATAACACGAGGTGAATATTCTCATGTGTTACAGGGCCGATCACCTTTACGGCATAATTTCATTAAACTTCACACGTCCTGATGTAATAGTTTTTTTTCTAAGAATTGAGTGATATATACATAAATCTTCCATTTTAAACGCATTAGCTGTTAACTTTCAATAATTGTGATTAAAGTCACCTAACATTTTTTAAAATATATAGAAAAAAAAAATCACCCAACAATTTCTTTTGATTGATTGACAATGATAATTAGTGATTTAGTGATATGACAAATAAAATATTTTTTTTTTAAATTGACAGTTCTAATTATTCTAAGCATAATTTGCAACGTGGATTATTGCAAATCAACCATCAATTGGGGTTTAAATTGTAATTTACAGAACTTTATGTGTTGCGGAAAAGACCTCTGCGGTGGCAAAATGCCTATGATCGGCCTTTTAGAATCCATTAGCGAAAAATGAAGAGTAGAAAAACATGGCAAAATTATGGGCACTATTCAAATAGTGGAATGCCACAGCGTCCAATTGAAGGGGAAGTGTTGTAGTTATTGCCTGCCCCACTAGTGGTGGATATAACTGTAATGGTGTGTTGTATTGAATATTTAAGAATAAGTTTAACCCATATCATTAGATTTTTTATTTATTTATTTATTTATTTATTTATTTTTTTTTGCATATATAGCGTCTCGGCACCGTATGTGCAACACCAAGTTAGTAGCGCCCCAACGCCGCCCGGGCTCAGTCCAGATTCAAAACTAGACAACACCATATTGAAACGTATGAATACAACACACCAATGTCCCGCTAGAGTGTCGCGACGCCCCA